GGGTGGGCTGGGAGAGTATTATTCTGCCCATCACACGTGGGATAATCAACAGGTATGCCCACAGGTGATAAATCTGAGCTGTCAAGGTGTTCACTGGGTAGGAATTCATGATGTTGGCCATTATATCTGCAAGTCTGCAGTTCAAGAAGAGCTGGGAAGGTGATTCAGTGGTAGAGTGCTTGCCTTGCATGCACGAGGCCCTGGGTTCGATTCCTCAGCACCACATAAGCAAAAAGAAAAAAGCTGGAAGTGGCGCTGTGGCTCAAGTGGTAGAGCGCTAGCCTTGAGCTGAAGAGCTGAGGGACAGCGCCCAGGCCCAGAGTTCAGGCCCCACAACCGGACCCCCCTGGCACACACAAAAAAAGAGGTTAAAACTAAATTTGAAAGCTGTCAACACAGTAAGGGTATAGAAAGCTATGACAGGACATGATATCCTTGGACAAAAACCCAAGCCAAAATGGAGTGTGGAGTGGTTCACATCTGGAGTGAAGGCAGAACTAGCAAAGAAAGCAGAAGAGGGTGAGAGGAAGGAGAGATAGGTTGAAAACCAAAATAGTACACTGTCATGAAGGCTCAGAAAAGAGACTGTTCATTAGGAAAGAAAAAAATAAAGAAGGAATAATATTCCAGCTTCAAAAACTCCTGCAGAAGGACCTGGGGATGTGTCAGTGCCTGGCAGCAAAAAGCTTCTACTTCGATTCAAGCTATCTCGGGGGGATGGTGATGGCAGAATCAAAACTGAGGGAGAAGGTGAATCAGATGCGGTCCGTGACCTTTGTGGACCTTGGCAGTATCTCGCAGATGCTTGTTAAAAATAGTGAGCTAATCACATTTGATCACAGTCTTTTCAACACAAAGCTGAACTAAGCGTGATCACTGTTATACCTTTACATGTAGGTAGAGCTGTGTGAGGCTATGTGATATGGGCCAGGGGTACTGATGCAGTGAGTTTCTCATTGCTGCACCCTGTGCAAAGCAAACACGGAAGGTCAACTGGAGCAATGGAGTCCCCCGACCTTCCTGAATGAAGCCCAGGGAATCCTTTAGAACAAAACTGTAAGAACTGGTTGCGAAGGAAAAATTGGAAAGTTCCTTAGCAAGATTCAAAGCTGATTTGTCTTAAAGAATCTGCTTCTTCAGGCTCCTGGTCTTTCTAGGAAGTCTTAGTGGCAGTGATGCTACCATCCCTTCAGACCGGTTTACTGGCAGGCTCTTTGGCAGCATATTCGTCTCTATTAGCATTTTCTTCTTCCTGGTCACTCACATGGGACTACATGCTTTTAGGAGAAGATGGCTGAAAGATTTTTTTTTAACCGAACCCCTCCTCCACTCTCCTTACTGGCTTTGAGTCATATAAAAGGACACAGGAACTCTCCTAACAAAAATGTTCGAACGCAAAAGCTTCCTTTTATTTTATTTCTTTTTTACATGTGATGGAGTTGTAGTTATATTGCAATCTTTCCAACTTTCAGAAGGGAATGGCTTACAGATGTATTTTCTCCACAGACATTTACACCTCTATTGTTTTCTTAACCTCCTTCCCCATCCTATTACAGGATTCTTTTCATGAAAAAGATTACAACCTGCCCATGAAAAGTTTCCTTTTTTTAACTTTGTCAAATTAGATAGAGTAAATAAGGAAGATTTAAGAAAAGGGAAATTAACAGGAATTTTCTTATCAATCTAATCTTATACTATGCATAAATTTCATTTCATATGTATTATAGAAGTAATTATAAAAGACAAGCTAAGATACGTATCTCAAAATATATACTATAAGAAATGTAGGTGACTTGGTAGTAGGAAAAATGTTTTTAAAAGTGACACATAAAACAACAACCATGAAAAAATCAACATACACACCAAATTAAAATGTAGAACTTTTGTTCATTAAAAGGCACAGTGATGCGTAAATGTAATCCCAGCTACTCAGAGGACAGATTATTTGAGTATAAGAGTTTGAGAACAGATTGGGAAACATAGTTACTTCCTCTCAAAAACAAAACCAAAAAAAGAAGAAAAATCTTGGGAATTAATGATTATGAATATATATTTAGTAGAGGATTTAAATCCAAAAAAATACAGAGAACACCTATACCTCAATAACTAGAGAACCAAAAGGAACTAAAATAAGTATGGCCTTAATTTGCAATAATTGTTTGCTTTAATGACTCAAATAGTTTCAATTTAGTAAAGTTAATAACTTTTTTTAATAATAAAAAAGTGGGACAAGTTGATTTAAGCAAACGGAGAGTACCAAGCTTTGTACACTTTTTAGTGTAGCCTAGCTAAGCACCATCTGGTGGCAGGATTTTGAACTGCATCTTGAATTTGGACTAATATTTAGGGAAAATAAATGTTTTGAATATGGAATCTGCAACATTTCTTATTTGTGAACAGTAACAAACTCTAAAATGATAGTTTAATTATAACAAAATTTAATTAAAGGAAAATCTATTGTTACTTTTGTATTTAAAATACTTAGTAAAAATTACAATCAATGAAGATATGATGATACAAATATATATAGGTAGAATTTTAAATAAAGGTAATTAATAAATGTCATTTGATAGTTTTATATTGATTTGACATGTGTTATTGCATTTAATCTTCTTAAGAACTCTGAAGTACAAACCCATCCTCACAGACTTTTGCTGTGCTTAACATTTTCCTAGCAGAAAATTGCTTTGTGGTGTGTATTGGTTCTTGGTTTTTTCCATCATGGGGCCTGAACGCTGTCCCTCAGCTCTTCAGCTCAAGGCTAGCACTCTACCATTTGAGCTACAGCACCACTTCCGGATTTTTTTTTTCTGTTTATGTGCTACTGAGGCATCGAACCCAGGGCCTCATGCATGCAAGACAACAAGCACTCTACCACTGTGCCACCTTCCCAGCCCTGCTTTGTTGTTAATAAGTAAACCTCATAGAATGTATTGATCTCTAATAAATACGCCTCTATGAGTTTCTTACAAAGTCGGAAGGGAATTGAAGAAAACATAAAAAAGAAATAGTCAGTGAGAAAACAGTTTACAATGAGAAATAAAATATTCAATTTAAGAAGACCTTAAAAAGTGGTATTTAGAACAACTTAAAACCTAGCATAATTCTTTGGTTTTTATATACACATGTAAATGTTACTCAAAAAAGTTACCTAAAAAAGGGCTCTTAATATGTCTTAGTGGTAAAGTGCTTGCCTAGCATGCATGAAGCCCTGGGTTTGATTCCTCAGTACTACATACAGAGAAAAAGCCAGAAGTGGTGCTGTGGCTCAAGAGGTAGAGTGCTAGCCTTGAGCAAAAAGAAGCTCAAGGACAGTGCCCAGGCCCTGAGTTCAAGCCCAAGACCGGCAAAATAATAATAATAAATGTTACTTTTTTAAAAAAGTTGTTACATACTTTACCATGCATTATAGTACTTCCAACTAAAAGCAAAGGAAAATAGCTCTCATGAATATTTTCAGGTGGAACCTCGAATCTTGAAGAATAGATTGCTGATAGCCAGGAGTGGTGATGCATTTCTGTAATCCCAGCACTTGAGAGGCTGACACAGAAGATCACAAGTTTGAGGCCTACTTAGACTATGTAATAAAACTCTGTCTCAAAAAAACCAAACCCAAAAAACCCAGATTAATGATTTAAGAAGAGAATGATTCTGTAGTAGCACTATTATGCCATTTTCAAGATACTCAAAGAGTTTGCCTTACCTCACAATGCTGGAAATGAGATGCACCCCAGAAGTGCTGCTGAGGAGGCTGGGTTCTGCTTCCACTGCTGCCCATTGTTGAGTGTGCCCATCCACACATGGCTTGTGCACCAAAGTTCTTGGCTCATAGGTTACTAGGTTATCATGTTACTACATTTCTTTATCACTTAATGAAATCTCATTGGGTGCTGATGATTCACAGCTGTAATCCTACCTGCTGAAGAGGCTGAGATCTGTGGATCAGTTTGAAGTCAGTCTGGGCAAGAAAGTCTATGAGATTCTCCAGTTAACTACCAAAAAGTCATCAATGGAACTATGGTTCAAGTAGTAGAGCACTAGCCTTGAGGGTAAAAGCTCAAGGATAGCACCCAGGTCCTGAGTTTGGGTCCCAGGATACACACACACACACACACAAAATGGAGTCCTATGGCTAAGTGAGAAATGCTGAGTTACTTTCAGAACCAAATGAGTCTCTAAACTTGGTAGAAACAGATAGATTTAACATTTCTCCAACTTATTTATAATTCATATAGATTAAGTGTGTATTTAAAACATACAACCTAGAAAACACAGCCATTATATATATTATGTACATAATATGTATACTATACATGACTGCCTTATAACATACCAATACTGGAGTAAGCATGTGGTTGTTCCATAAAAAAGAAGAAACAGCCCTGGACAGAGGAGCCTAGACCCAATCTGGTGTGTGTGTGTGTGTGTGTGTGTGTGTGTGTGTGTGTGCATGCATGCTGGTTCTGGGGCTTGAACTCAGGGCCTGGACACTGTCACTGGGCTTTTTCATTCAAGGTGCTCTACCACTTGAGCCAGCTCCAATTTTACCAGCCTCCTTTCTGTTTCCTTTCCTGTTCAGCTATCCATAAGAAGCTGACATTGACACTTGTGTTTACTCAGAGATAACAGATTTTAAAGATGGAATAAAGGGAAGAAAGAAAAAGCAAATGAATGCTTCTACTAATATTTCATTGAGCAGAGCAGCAGCAGCTGATCACCCCAATCTCACGGAGCCTGTGAATGGACATCCTTTTAGGCCTCTGTATCTGAATTATATATGATAAGGCAATTTCCAGCTCACATGACGTGGTGACAGGCTCACCTGCTTTTGATCTTTGTCACAGATGATTCATGAAAATCTTTTGTCATACATTCAAATCTACTGTTACATCGAAACCATCTCATGAAAAAGTGTTTTTTTTTTAATCCAAGAGAATTTCAGAAAATGCTGTCCTGTTTTTCATTATTGAAGTTCTTTTTTTGTTTTCTTTCTGAATTAGGTGCTATCCTATCATGCCACATGTTCTAAAGCAGAAGTTGACAAGTTCAAGGTAAGGAAAGAAATGGTGGCACTACTGATTTATAAAATTTAACTTCATCTGTTGTCCAATCCTGTCACTTGTCTCTATAGAACTAGTCTTGCTGCAGGGATTAAGGGAACAGAGCTGGGCAGAGTATATCTGGATATTTGCATTTCAGAGAGGAAAGAGCGACTCAACATATAATTTAGTAGTTCATTCATAATTTTTTAAATTATCCTGAATCGCTTCCTATTTGTTATATAAGCATAAAAATCTTTGTTTGTTTTTGTAGTTACTGGGGTTTGAACTCAAGTCCTACCATTTGAGCCATACTTCTAGCCCTAAGACCTCTGATTTTGATGTGGTTTTACTATTAACTTTCTGTTCACTTAAAAATCTTAATGTGTTACTATCTTCTTTATGTATAAAAGTGTGTGAAGAAATTGAGATAATATGTTTACTACATGCTTACTGCTTACTGTGTGCCAAGCGTAGTGCAGTGCTATACCTGAATTCATTCATTTAATCCTCATAACCCTGTGAAGTGCTATACACATTATTTTGCAGGTGAGTAAACTGAGGCATGGAATGCTGAATCTCTAGGCCAAGGTCAAATGACCATAGTGGATACCATAATCTAGCTCCAGACCTGGAATACTTAACCATCATGCTCGACTACTGCTCTGGATGACCCTCCAATATCTGATAGTCTGTGAATGAGTCTTGGATATTCCTTTTTATCTTAGTCACCATTCTTCCCTTCAACACAGTCTAGAATTTCAGTTCTCTCCCTACAGTCCTACCAGGCAGTTTTATTTATTTATTTTTAATATATATTTTTATTGTAAAGATACTGTACAGAGGGGTTACAATTACATGAGCAAGGTAATGAGTCCACTTCCTATGGAGCATTGTTACACCTTCCTTTATATTTCCCCAAACATCCCTTTCCTCCCCACTTCCCCAACTTCTCCCTCCCCTCTCTCACTACCCCCCCCTGCAAAGTTGTAAAGTTCATATTCAACATACTGTCTTGTACATCTCATTGTTACAATGTATCATCCTGTATCCTTGTTTCAGCATTTTGTTATTTCCCTTCCCCAAATTAGAAAAATGTATATACAAGATGCAGGGCACTGGATCAAACACAGTGACCACAGGGGTTGTACCATGGGGGAAGAACATACAAAAGAAACAAAAAAAAATCACATAGTACATTATAAGTACATTAAGAACAGCAACAAAGATAAAACCTCTGTGTCCCTATCTTGGGGCTCACTTAACATCAGGTTATATGGTCATATGTACATAGCTTTTGACCTCTTCTGCTTGTCCTAGATATATGCTAGTTATTTTAAATAGGGGAAACCATGGGACCTATGTTTCTTTGAATTTTCCAGGCAGTTTTAGAAGTGGTTGATACATAAGGAGGTAAGAAAACATTTTCCTTCCTTTAAAAAGGTTTAGTGGGCCTGGTACTTTTGGTTCACACCTGTTTTCCTAGCTACTCAGGAAGCTGAGGTCTAAAGAATCACAGTTCGAGTCCAGACTAAGCAGTAAAGCTGATGAGATTCCATCTCTAATCAACAACCATAAAGCTAGATTTTATGCTTGTTATTTGCATTTAGATATATTCATTCTCTGAGGAAAAAATATGCCACAGAGACTTTTGAGCCTAGTAATAGAACCAGATTATTAGAACTGAGTCACATAAACAATATAATGGAACGAAGACCTCAAACATTGCAAGTAGGAATAGAAGAAATGAGTGTGTAAGTGACAGGAAGCATGCTATGAGCTACTTGGTCCCTATCCAGAAATGTGGTTTATTATTAGGCAAACACTTAGGAAAGAGACCAACAATGTCACCTCAGATCAAAAGGAGAAATGGAACCAGGCAGAGAAAATAACTGACATCTAAGAAGGAAGACAAAGCAATCAAAATGTACAAAACGTTATGTTGAAAAACAAACTTTACAACTTTGGCAGTGGGGGGTGGGGAAGATGGGAGGACAGGGATGGTAATGGGAAATAAAGGAGCAGGCAACAATGCTTAATAAGAAATGTACTCAAGCCTAAGTAAGTTATAAGGAGTTCAGCATTGTTTGGCTTATGGTTCTACAAGAACACACTATTGGCATCTTCAGCACATACTGACTGGAAGATGATCTCCCTTAGAGCAGGGCTTTCTGTACTCACTGCTCTATTTCTACTGCCTTTTAAGTTTCTTGGAACATAGTAACAATCAATACTAGCTAAATAGATGAATGAGTAGATGAATGGTTCCATAAATTCAAAGAACATCAGTATTCTAGAATTCAAACCAATTATTCATTAAAAGACTGTTAAAATCATGGTAATATATAACTATCATATATGCCTGATAAAAACTTCGGTATATTTAATACAGCAAAATGTTTAATGTGTGTGCATGCACATGCAGGTACGCACACACATGCATCCTAGGGCTTGAACGCAGGCACTGTTCTTGGTCTTTTTTGCTCAAGGCCAGTGCTCTAACACTTGAGTCACAGCTCTACTTGTGGAATTTGGGGTAGTGAATTGGAGATAAAAGTCTCATGGACTTTCCTGCCTGGACTAGCTTTGAACCACGATCCTCAGATTTCAGTTTCCTGAGTAGCTAGGATTATAGTCATGAGCCATGCCTAGCTAGGTTTTTTGCTTTAGCTAATAAAGTTTAGTAGACATGTACCATAAATTATCACATGGTATTGCCATCAGTACAGATAATTGTTGTTTTTAATGTATCAGCTTACAAATAATATTTAAAATAAAAGAAAAATATCAGAAAGGTTTAGTTACCTAAAAATCTTACTTATGGTAATATCGAATTCCTGACTAAATGTCCTAATTTCTGATTAAATTTTCTATTATTATATTTTTATTATATTTATTATCATTGCTAAAAGAGGAGCCTGATGGACAGGAAGAAACATAGAAAAGCTCACAGTGAACAAATGTGACTGAAAGAGCTAATTACGGGACCTTTCCTGAGCAATAGCAAACTAAAGTCCATAGCTGTCCACTTTCTGAAGGTTATTGACCTACATTTAGACTTAATTCTTCACTTCAGAAAAACCCATTGTCTAGACTTTGCCGTACTTTTCTATTGTTAGCTCACAAACATTCTGGAAATATGAAGTATGTAAATTTGAGAATACAGGGTTATTTCATCTTAAAATTATCAAGATTATTAACTGATCTACTCTAGATTTTCTCAAAAGATATTAGCTAATATCTCATTACAAAGTAATTGAAATATAGTTGATAATTTTAACCAAATAGCTTTTTTTCTTGATATATAAATAAAACGTTATCGTAATTAGTAGCTGGTGTCTATTGTAACAGCAGCAGTAACATTAAAATGTAGTGGGCTTAAAATAATCCTGCATATTGAGAGTACAAAAGTATTTCTAGAAATTCCAGGCTGGAAGATAACACAGTGACACTTTTCTAACACTGTATGTAGCTAGCTGAATCTCAGGAAGGCAAGGCTTTGCTTTGGCCAATATTGAAAGACAAGCCATGTTTATATTTGAATATACTTTAACCTTTATTTCTTGTGATGCCTTTTAAAATAGGGATAGCTGAAAAAGGAAAAAGGGGTAGTTATTTGAAATCCAGAGTCAGAGTTACCAATGAGATTTCATGTGTTAAGGGACAGTTGATGGTTGTACTCCTCCAGGACCAGTACAGTATTTGGGAAGAAAGGATTTAAACATCTGGTGCTAAAAGAGATATGGATGTCAAAAACACCCAAACATATGACAAACCTCAGCAGAAGCCCCAGCTGCAAACCTGGGGTGCAGAAGTATCTGAGAGCTCAGTGAGATGTGGTTATTATTCACATAAGAAACTGAGATCCCTCTGAGTCAATAATTCTTCCCTGGCTGGAAGCATGACTCGGGGTAGAGTGCATACCTGGCAAATGCAAAGCCCTGAGTTCAGACATCAGTAAAAGACGGGGGGAGGGGAAGAGAGAACGAATTCTTTCCTAATTAAAGTGAAAATCCCATAAACCTCGCTATTTAGATGACTCCAAGTCCAGCATAAAATGTATCTGTCCCTTATCTCAGATTGTCTATGGATTCATGCTCTTAGCTAGAACATGAGTGATCAAAAAAGACTTAATAGTGGTTCAAGCACATTACACACATGCCCCCTCACCATAACTCAGCCCCTAGACTGACAGCAGCACAGACCAGAAGGCGGCACCTCAGTGGCAGGAACATCACTAGACACCAGAGTGAGGGCCCCTTCCATCCAGCATGATCAGCAGAGAATGAGAGGATCAGTGCAGGTTGAATGGTCACGTTGTAAGGACAGATAAGATAGACACTGAACCCTCCCAGAAAGAAGGAAAAATGGAGATCCTATAATATCAGAGATTTTGATATGCAGCACTAATTGCTCTTAATTTCCTTTAACTTGTACTCCCAGATGGTGTGGCTAAAGGAAGGCTGTATATAAGGTATATTGTATATAAGCTGTAGTAAATCTCAACTACTTATACTGACAAGCTGATGCCACCTTACCCTTCTTTATCTCTGGTTTTCTTTTCACATACTCCTTCATTTCCTGGGATTTCTTTCTCTATTCTAGGATGACAGGGTATAGTTGTTCTCTCTTTGCTTTGAGTAACTTTAGTTCTCCCATTGGCAAAAAAAAATCACTGAGGGATATTTAGTAGTGGATAGATGCCATGTGATTTGAGTTGAAAACATTGCTACAAGTATCCCAAGACTTTCCAGCTACAGTTCTGATTTGTCAGAACCTGGACTTATTTTTCCTTATTCTGATGTGTCATTTATGCCTCAGGAAATAGTCACAAAGATCATAGCACTTTCTGGAACAAGTGAATTAACCATCTTTAAAAGTTTGATTCAATTTATACTGTTAATAAATTATCTTTTATGGGTTGATTGCCTTATGCATCTAATGAGGAAACCACGATACATAAAATGGTTTGTATACTCATTAAGATTTATTGGTCTTTCATGAACTTGAAA